TACTTCTGAAGGTGTTTCCACCTTTATACAGTTCTATTCATCACACCTGTGGCTTTTCTTATTCAGCACCTCTTTTGCTGATTGCTTGCCCCACTAGGAAGAACAAGGCCATTAGTAGTATACACATAGGAAAGACTTGACCATCCCATTTTAAAGTAAAAGGAAAGATACGAGGTGGCCAAAACACGAGGAATAAATACATCAATGCATTCACTCAGGCTAGATGAGGCTCTGCGTAGCTTGATCTAGTTAGAGCCCTGCTTATGGAAGGGGGGTTGGACTAGATGACCTTTGGAGGTTCCTTCCAGCCCAGATGTTCTACAATTCTATGACTCACAGCATATGACAGAGCAAAGAAAGGAGTAAGCCAAGTCAGAAACCAGGTCATGAACAAAGGAATAAGCCAAGTCAACAGTCCAACTCTAATCACAGAGCAATTGCCAAGGAAAAGCCTCATTACATACATAATCCTTTCTGTCCTGGTCTTGATCTCATCCCACCATTACCTGCAACACTGCCTGCAACAGACAATCAGGAAGCCCTTCCTATAACAGGAATCCCTACACAGTGCATCCACTATGTAGGTAGGCTTCCTAACACCACTGCAAGCAGAGCCAGCTTTTATGCTGTTAACTTGGAGGTGGGACAAGATGTTAATGCCAAACGCAGGGGCACCTAGTGGTGATCTTCTAATCAATTCCCACCCAAGGCTGGCCAGACCTTGGGTGAAAACCCATCAGGAGGGTCTTTCTTGCCTGATTGTGGACATCATCCATACGCCAACCCTCATTCAGCGCTGGGGGTTTAACCCCAGCACTGCAGCACCCTATCAAAAAGTTTGAAAGGAACAACTGTTATTCATAGCCACATGCACCTGTAGACAAACCTAAGTGGTAAGCAAGCTATTGATTTAATTATTAATTGTACTCTGAAAGGTTCCTGTCAGTTTGAGGTGATCAAGGGGGGTTTGTGAATGCTGCAGGACTGTTGTTCACAATGGGCTTCCTTATGTCCTGTCTGACAGCTGAGTTGGGAGCACTTGCCTCTCATCACCTTGCAGGTGGAGATTACCACCCTCTCCAATACACCAGCTCAGGTGGCTCTTTTCACCTACCTCCACCCTAAATCAGGGACCTTGTTTCAAAATGAATTAAATGTGGGACAGTTCAGTCAGGAGAACCAGCCATGCTTGCAGGCTAACACAGGCTGAAGCTGAAGCTTGGGTATCTGACTTAACTCTTAACTTACAATAGTCACAGACATCTGTTCTGGTCTTGGCTGTGCAATGCCCCCGGCCATGAAGGTGGCCTGAAAGGTGGGAAGAGTTCTGGCTCTCTTTCTCATCGTCATCCTTGGGGAAAAAGGAGACAGACCATCAGGAGCCAGAATCTTTGTGCTGGCAATATTCAGCATTTGAGAGCAATATTCCAAGGATTTTTTTCTCATTAGTATTTTAGCCTCTCTCAGCAAATCTTCTGGGATGTGCAGTGCTTTTGTCGTGCCGACACCTTGTAACTGCTGCCTTCTGCAGCCACCAGTGTACCTGGACTACACTCTCCAGATTAACATAGGGGTGATTCCCTTTTTACCTATCTTCTTTGCCGTTCGTTGAGATTATCCCACACCACACTTAACCCACTGTACTCACCATGGAAGTTTCTTTAAGCCCGGTTTTCCAGGCTGCTCAGAGCTCCAGTTCAGCTTCACTTTTTTTAGAGTGGATACAGGTTCATAGCTTATGTACGTTCAGATAAATGAATTAGTCCATCTCCATCTCACCTTAATTGTGGTTCTGGTTTTGATTTAATTTTCAGATTTTTTTTCAGTTATTTTATTCCTTCTGCATTGCTCAGTGGTGTAACTTCTATTGTACAAGGGAGCAATCACCTTATACATCCTCTCAGATTGTATTTGGGATGTGACTACCACATTCCTGTGGACAGGGTCAGACGATTAATGTAGTCAATAGTTATCTGTTAGAAATTAGAAACTGGGAAAGTTAGCAGTGTGGATCCAAAACAGTTACCAATGATGTAATTTTATGATTATTTGTAGCAATGAGAAAATGTCGCCAGACCCCTGAGGTTATTAGAATTAATTCAAGATAAACAGACATCAGCTTGTAGCAATATCCTTTACTGCTGGCATTAGGCACGTCCACCTGATTTATGGTTACAATGAAAAAAATTGCCATCACGTAAAAAGTTCAGATGACGACATAAGGGACTACACGCCATGCGTGTGAAAACTGTGATACGAATGGGGACACAAAGGCTTTCAAAGTCTGAATTTTAGGACACAGAAATAAATGAGGCAGACAGAGATGAGGGCACATTAGTTCTGAGCACTGCATGTGAATGGGATGTTTTATGAATCAGGAAACTTCTCGTAAAAAGCCAAAAAGTTGAACGCAAAACCCACCAGGCAATCAGCACACAGGGAGTCGGGCAGGAATCAGTGCTTTTAGATGTTAGGCCTCCCTTGGAGCAATTTTATCTTTTGAATCATAAAACCAGGAAATATTTTAATATCTTTTGTTGAGCTATTCATCTCCACTTGATAGGCACATAGATTTATTTGTTGACTCCAGCTGACACAAATTAGCAGATCCAAAACATTTAACTAAGGTGCCCTGCTTCCT